GACAGGCATCTAGAGTAGTGTCTAGAGAGTCTAGGGAGGCGTCTAGAGAGTCTGGGGAGGCATCTAAAGAGTCTAGGATGGTGTCTAGAGAGGCGTCTCGAGAGGCACCTAGAGAGGTGCCGAGGGCCGGGAGGTGTCTAGAGAAACGTCTAGAGAAACGTCTAGAGAGGCGTCTAGAGAGACGCCACCAGCCGGGAGGTGTCTAGAGAGATGTCTATAGTGTCTAAAGATGCGTCTAGAGATGCGTAACCTAGCCGACTGACCCGGCCGTTAGGCGCCAATCCCCGGATGGAGAGGCGCCGGCGGCTTAGCGGCTAAATCCCGTCCTGATGGAGCATCTGTCCAGCAGCTGGATGGGGACAGCTCACGGACCTGAAAAAGCTCTGTGTCTTGTTGTATTAAATAATTAACCCTGTAACCCCAAATGTGTCATATCTGATACATACGGTTTCTGAAATGCTTTGCGTCTGACACCTTTTGCATAATTTAATGTTAAAAACTTTTCTCAAAATCCTATTCTTTTAATTGTTTTTTATTTTATTTTTATTCCTTTATATATTTATTTACATATCTATTCTTTTTATATATATTTATTTATATATGTATTTTTATTTTATTTATTTATTTTTATTCTTTATTATTATTATTTTTCTATTGTACACAATCAGATACACCTGATAACAGGGGGCTGGAGACTACACAAAACATAATCCTGACTCATCACATAGTAATAAATTATCAATATTAAAAATGTATTTCTGTTTTTTCACTTTACATATTTTGCTAAAAGGCCAAATAAGGAATTCAAACAAAAAATAAGTAATTTTCTGTTTTGTTTTATTCTTGGATCAGGCTTTAAAGGGGTAATTGTAGTAAATAATTTCCCTCTGGGATTATTAAAGTATTTCTATATCTGATTCTGATTTGTTGCTGCAGTGACATTTCCCCTTTGGGGAAATCACTAAAAGTTTTATTACATTCTACTCCCAAACATTGTGAAGCTCTGGCCAAAAAGGCCTCAAATCTCGTCTTTGACTCCACTTCTTCCAGCAGAACTGACACATTTCAAACAGACTTGGAACCTTTCGGAGTGGGTTCGGCTCCAGTTTCCACTTCAAGACGGCTTCAAACTGGAATCAGATCCGGTTTGTTTTGGTTTTTTGGGGGATTCGACTCCTTTAAGGACTCGTGTGGCCTCGTTAACCACCATTAAAACAGGCTGGATTTAGAAGAGAAGCAGTTAAATGGCTGATGAGCTGAAAATGGTTTTGATGGAGGGCAGAGGGGGCCCAGACAGGAGGTTAAAGACAATATCCTGATTTCATGGGGAAAGACGCTCACATTTATATTCTTATGCTTTGAATATAACCATTTTATGATGCTTTTTTGTGTTTTTTTCCCCCATTTTCAGGCTTTCAAAAGATTTTTAAAAAATACCTCAATGATAAACAGGAAGGAAATAAGCTCACATTTATATTTTTACACTTTGAAAATCTTTTTGATGTTCTTTTGGTGTGTTTTTTTGGTGTTTTTTTCTCCGTTTTCAGGCGCTCAAAATATTTTAAAAAATACCTCAATGATAAACAGGAAGGAACTAAGCTCACATTTATATTTTTACCCTTTGAAAATCACCACTTTATAATGATCTTTTAGTGTTTTTTTCCCCATTTTCACGGTCTCAAAATATAAAAAAAACACACTCATTGATAAACAGGAAGGAACTAAGGCCACATTTATATTTATACACTTTGAAAATCATGACTTTCTGATGTTCTTTTAGTGTTTTTTCCCGTTTTCAGTCTCTCAAAATATACCTCATTGATAAACAGCTTTAGGCCCACTACAGCTAGTGGGGGGGGGGGGGGGGCAGAAAAATGGAGCAAATCTTCTTAGAAGCTGGGACCTGTTGGCCTGAATACGGCCAAACGGGACCATTTCCCGCTTTGGGGTCAGAAATAATGACAAAAACACACGGAGGCAGAGCCCGGGTTTTATTTTGGGGGCAGTAGAAGAAGAAAAAGAGACATAAGACACATAAGAAACGCTCATTCCAGAGGTTTGCTGAACATTGAGCCTTTAAAGCCTGAAAGAAAAAGGATATAAACAATAAGTTTTGATTTTCTCATCTAAATTCTTTGTTTCTTTAGCAACATTTTAAATAAATTAACAAAAAGTAATAATTTACACTTTTTACTATAAATCAAAATGCAAAAAAAAGGAAATATTTTATACACCAAGTTTTCCAATAAAGTTTAAACAACTACAAATCAAAATGCAAAAAAAAAAAGAGAAATATTCTATATTCCAGTATTTTCAAATAAAGTTTAGAAAACTATAAATCAAAATGCAAAAAAAAAAGAGAAATAATTTATATTCCAGTATTTTCAAATAAAGTTTAGAAAACTATAAATCAAAATGCAAAAAAAAAGAGAAATAATTTATATTCCAGTATTTTCAAATAAAGTTTAGAAAACTATAAATCAAAATGCAAAAAAAAACAGGGAAATATTCTATATTCCAGGTTTTTTAAATAAAGTTTGGAGCATACAACAGGTCTCAGATCAGTGAGTTAAATACGATGTTTAATACGATTCGTTGGGCTTCTGATGGCAGCAGGAATCCATCACAGGATGGATTTCCCGCCTCCAGAGGGCCTAAAACAGATTCTCACAAGCTTCTGAAAGTCGGAGCGATCGTTATAGTCAGAAAAAAATCAGCATTTGGGTTCAAACGGAGACATTCAGTGAGAAATGAAGCATGTGGAGCAGATTTCTGAGAGTCGGAGAGGGCTTCAACATCACATTCCTGAGCCCAGATTCAGTCAAATACTTTATATTTCCACACAGTTTGCACATAATTGACTGAAGAAGCTCCACGAATGCAAACACCTCCACAAATGAGCAGGCATTGGACAGAAATGTTCAGTAACATGGAGGTTTTGGGGGAAAAGAGGCTGAGCGATACTTAGAGCAGAACTCAGAACATCCACAGCAAACAAACAGACGTTCACTCACAAATCGGATTAAATGCAAATACGTCTACGCCGGGATTTGATGCCCTCGCTCTAATTCTGAAGCAATAAGAGGCAGAAAACTGCTTCCATTTTCCCGATTCAAAGCCAGTGACCTGATTGGAGCAGTCCAGGCGGAGGTCCGCGAGTTTTGTTTCTCACAATCCGGCGGCCATTTTCTGCCAAAGCTCAGAGTCTGAGGCGTTGCGGCCTAAAGGAGGCAGTGGGGCTAAAGGAGGCAGTGGGGCTAAAGGCGACGGCGACTGGCCTCAAACTCATTCTCCGCACGCACACGAGCAAAAAGGGAGACCACGACGCGTTCAGGGGCGAGAAAAAACCCGACAAAACTCGACACCGGAGCACAAACTCTGCACCGAAGCAGCCGCCATGCGGAACAAAGACTCCCCAATCCACCTCTGACTTCAGTAGAGCTAGCAGCACAGATAGGCGCAAAGCTAGCAGTGCAGCTAGCCGCAGAAGGAGCAACACCGCTACCAGTACAACTAACCGCAAAGATAGCCGCGCGGCTAGCCACACAAATAGATGTACCCCTAGCAGCACAGATAGCCACTCAGCTACCAGTACAGCTAGCCACACAGCTAGCCACACAGCTACCAGTACAGCTAGCCACTCAGCTACCAGTACAGCTAGCCACACAGCTACCAGTACAGCTAGCAGCACAGATAGCTGCTCAGCTAGCAGCACAGCTAGCCACACAGCTAGCCACACAGGTAGATGTACAGCTAGCAGCACAGATAGCCACACAGCTAGATGTACAGCTAGCCGCAGAGCTACCAGTACAGCTAACAGCAGTTAGCAGCAGCTAGCAGCCGGCCCTCTATGTCGTAACCGGTCGCTAGGCGGTGATGTCGTGGAGGCGGTTGCTAGGCGGTGATGTCGTGGAGGCGGTTGCGAGGCGGTGATGTCGTAGAGCCGGCCGTCAGGAGGTGAGCTAGCTAGCAGAGCTAGGAGCACAGATAGCCACACAGCTACCAGTACAGCTACCAGCACAACTAGCCACACAGCTAGATGTACAGCTAGCCGTTTAGCTACCAGTACAGCTAGCAGCACAGATCGCCACACAGCTAGCAA